GTCATAATGACAGTTTGGCAAGTCTCCAAAAACGTTCTTGGATCTGCAGGAAGAATACCCGGTAAACGCTTGTTAATTCCTTTAAACAAATCCCTCAACGCCGAATGTGAGATATTAAATTTGACCGCCCACATCCGGAGATCTCTTGCAAACTCGGCGTTTTGTTCTAATTCTGATATTACTGAATCATCTTCTTCAAAATTTTGAAGCTCTATTAGCCAATCGTTTCTTTTTATAATTTCTTCTCCATCTTTTTGCCTTTCTGTGTCGAAATTTATGGTATTTTGTTCTTCCTCGCTCACTGTGGCACTGTCTTCTTGTAATACTGTTTTATCAGGCACTTTAACCTCTTGGAAATCACTTGTAGCAGTGGTAGAGTGATTTAAATGAACACTATTGCTTAATAAACTTTCATAAATTTTTTTCGTTTGCCTCCGAAATGCCCCACTTTTTTTTACTTTCTTCCATTTACCACTAAAAGACATTATTACTACTTTAAACAAGACGTTCTCTCGGACGTTGCCCAAAACCTGTACACTTAAAACAAAATGGAGTCAATAATAATTGAGATATTGTACCTAATTCTGTAGCGTTTTTATAAGGAACAAAAAAGATGGAAAAAACAAAAATTTGCTTTATAATTATTGTATAAGAACTACATTATTATTCTATAAAATAACCTTATAGAGCTGCTCCCTTTTAAGTTCGATAGCAGCTTCCATATTTGCTATTTGGTATTCGTAGCATAATCGTCACATACCAAACTCTTATACAATAGTTCTATTAAGACTGTACAGGCGACATTATGGGATAATTGTATAAGAGTTGTACAGGGTGTGGTTTTGTCCTTTTGAGCTCTATTTTGCATCGGCTTTACAATAATTTGATTCTATAAGCACGTTGCTGTAAAATTATGTCACAGAGCATCCTTATAGAGCAAATTTTACACTGGTCTTATAACTGTTCTATAATATATGCCCTAAGAACGTTCTTGCAATGAGTTTAAAGAACAATTCAGTTCTTGAAAACAAAATAGTCTCATATGCTCCATTAATACAGTAATTTAGTGTCCTAGATATATCTATAAAACTTTAATAGGATATAAATGTTCTATTAGCTTAAATTTATAGAACAACTTTGTTAGCTGGGCTGTTCTTTTTGAAGGAGTTATATTCCTTGCAAAGTCCACTTACACAAAATACCTTTCGTTGCAGTTTTTAAAGGATTTAGTTTGTTGTACTGTAAATGTGACACGATTATTAAAATTTTCCCCGCTAGATGATCATTTTACTAAGGATCGTGAGATTTGACTTTTATAAAATTTGTGTTGTGCAAATACAAGTAAACAAGTGGTGTGCTTTGAATAATAATATTAATATTTATTTTTATTATTATTAAACTATTAATATTAAGATGAAACCTAAAAGAATAATTGCAATTGCTGTATTTGGTATTGCAACTGAAGTTTTGTTTAAGAAAAAGCAGAAACGCCGCATGTGGTCAAAGAAGTGGCTTCAGAAACGGAAAATGTACAGCAATATGAATCTGTTACGAGAATTACGGACAAGTGAGCCTACCGATTTCCAAAATTATTTAAGAATGGATCCTAATAACATTTGATGAACTGTTAAAATTAGTTAGTCCATACATACAAAAATTCATCGTAATTAATTCGTAAAACACTAACTAGCTAATAAATATCTAAGACTTAAAAAAACTACCTGGCGTTTTAACAACAGACTTTCCTAACAGGAGAGAACACACGGATATCATCTCTCAAATGAAATGACCCCAAACCACTAATACAAATTTTTACACGTTTTATCTTGTCGGGCTGGAACGCCAGTAGATCCTGACAAGAAAGACGGAAGGTGCATGTGTCGTGCATATACCCACTAACTGGCGTTCTTTCCAGCGGGATTAGACATTCCTGCAGGAAAGAACGCTGGTGTATGGGTACCTAATCTTTACATGAAATTTCATAAATACCCGACCTTTCCAGTGGGGATATTTTATCTTTAGAATTACCTAATAATTGTTGTAATTTATTATTAGCACTATACACAAGTTTATAATTGACATTCTTAAAAATTCTTTTTAAACCACGGGATAACTCTCTATCAAACGGTATTGAAAAATATTTTGACTTATCTTTCTCCACTTGAAAAGTTAAATTTTCAGAAATCAGAAACTTATACCTACGTTTTCTAATTATTTTATCAACTAATAAAAAAGCATATCCATTACACTCAGCTACATTCCTAATGTAATTTCTTTCTATTTTATATCTTTCGTTGAGAAGTGGAAACTAAGTAATATATGAACTAAGAAATTTAAGTTATCCATCTTATATTCAACACTATGATATGGCTCATTGGGAATATATGCTCGTATAGTGGCATTTTTTCTATAGATATCATATTCCAGGCAATTAGTAGTATTTTTAGAAATACTAATAATACATATAGAAATGGTAATCCATCGTTGATCTCAATTTCATATGTAAATTTAATGGAAGGAAAACGATTATGTAATTTAGAAATAAAATTATCTATGGTGTCAGACTGTGTGTCAAAAACAGCAAAAGTATTATCCATATGCTGCCATTACTCGCTGACGAGTATTTGATTCGCATCAGAAGATGTTCACGCAAAGCGTTTTTTCTTTCATAAGCTTTCCTGTGACTGAAAAGCCCGATACGTGATGTTATCTGCCTACCGCACTCTGGACATTCAAAAGTTTTATTGCTTTGTTGCCTCTTTACTTTTTGGTTGTTGCTGTTAAATGAGTTTACAATTCTTCTCCAATGAGTTCTATTGTGAACTGCTTCTTCCCACTCATTCTGCATGATAATTCCCTTTAAGTTTTTGTGGAAAATGTCCTTGTACCTTTTAAGCTGTCCACCCGGCCTACCGTCTACAAGCTCACCGTAAAGCATAGATTTTGGTATGCGGTTTTCTTGCATTCTGCATACGTGACCAGCCCATCTAAAGCGGGATTTTGTAACCATGACTTCAATACTCTGGCAGTTAGCTTTTTCAAGGACCGATACGTTTGAGACATGATGGAATCACCGGATTCTTAAGAGTTGTCTAAAGTGTCTCTGTTGCAACTTGTTTAATGCGTTCATCTGTCGGTGGTACGGCACCCAGGTTTCGCTCCAATATAACATGGTGGGGATTATAATTGCTCGGTACACTGCAAGTTTCGATTTTGTACTCAAGTCATGATTGTAGAAAACTCTGTCCTTTAATTTCCAGAATGCTCTTGAGGCGCTGCTAATCCTGTGCTGGATTTCAGAGTCAATACTGGCCTTATCCGAAATCAAACTGCCAAGGTAATTGAATTCCGCCACATATTCCAATAGTTTATTTAGTACTAAACTAATAGTAATAGTAACTGATAAACTAGTAACTACTAATTTATTTATTTTTTCCACATACCTAAACAATATTCTCGGAAAATACTCAAATTCAAGCTTCGGAAAGAGCACAGAAATCTCTAAAATTAATAATTTTCAAAACTTCCGGAAATCTTCTAAATACTAACTAAAAGTAGAACTAACATAGAACTAACTAAAAGTAGAAAATATTTAAGAAAGGACACATGGAAATAGCCTTAACTTGATTTTAAAAACTTTTAATGAACCAGTTGCATGAAAACCCCTGTATAAAGGTGAAATAAATTACGAAGAGATTAGGATAAACCCGCCGGTGTTCTCCTCCCTAGTTCCGGGTATTATTTCCAGGAACAAAGAACAAATCTTACATTTCTGGATAAAGGCCTAACACGAAATCCTGCACGCGATAACCTGTAGCATTGTTCCGTTTCCTAGAACTTCCCGCCTGCCTGCCTATATTCGTCCTTAAATACACGCCCTTATCTGCCTAAATCTTCCTGGATAGTTCCAGGAAACCCAATTCGAGAAAATTTACAACGATGATTTACATGGAACCAAGATTTTTTTATTTTTCTTGCTAAAATGCTTTAAAAACAAAAAATGTTTTCCATCTAACAAAGAAATAAAATAGGGTGTTCCATTTAAAAAACGAATAGCTATAAATAGCACTGATATTACGACGTCATTAGATAAATCTCGATTTTTTAACGATAAACAGTAAATTATCAACCAGCAAGTCAGATTTTAAAGAAAAACGATTCAGGAAGATCTTCCGTAAGTACTTGGGCCTACAACATCCTGAGCAATACACAGGCCATTGTATCAGAAGATCATCCGCTACATTACTGGCAAATGCAGGAGTGAACATGACAACGTTAAAAAGACACGGAGCATGGCGATCTGCAACGGTTGCGGAAGGATATATCGAAGAGTCCATCAATAATAAAATAGAGATTGCGAAAAGGATTCAAGGTGCTGTAAGTGTTCCAGAACGAGCCGTTGTAATGACAGAGTCTATTTCAAGCAGTGGAGGGACAGCATCTGGAGGCATACAAGGTTTTACAATTTCTGAATCTACAAAAAAAAATAATTTTCATTTAATGTTAATGTTAATTTAAATAAATAATTGAATTAGTAATTTATGGATAAAGCTTAATAATTTCTATAAAATGGTGTGGCTTTGAAGTTAATACACACTAGTTTGTTATAACTACAAAAACTCACGCGTGTGTTATTATTTATTTTATATGTATGTATACATACAGTCTGTATAAGTAGTGGCTGTTCAGTTGGGCATATTGTTGGTTTTGGGGGCCCAAGTTATCCCTTCAAAACATATTTAATAATATCTTAAGATTACGTAAAATGATCAGAAAGGAAGCCAAAAATGCAATAATATTCATTTTTAAGACACTCTGAATACATAAACAAAATTATTGATTTTTAAAATATTATTCACAAACTAGGGAGAGGGAAATCAGGCGACGAACAGAGGTGATAGTTGTTAGATAATAGCTTCTAGACTACCATTCGAGACGCATTGATATTATTTTAAGTTCTTGTTTTAAAATAATCTAAAAAAAAAAAAAAAAATGTTAAAAACGAATAAAAATATGTTCCGTTTTGTTAAAAAGGTTAAGAGTTGCGGTATTAAAAAGAGGTTAAAAACGATAAAGCGTTTGGCTTTCGGTCTCGGTATTGTATGTCGTGTCGAAGTACATTAAGAGAGAATGTCTTGGGAGTCACTAAACTCGAGGGATTTTAAGTAAGTTTTAATAATTTACATATAACGTGAGTCTTAAACAAATGGAAATATTTTTAGGCTTGATAGATCTCGACAAAAGAACTGTATTTTCTCTTTGCCGTTATTTCAAATAAGTCCAAAAAATCCAGTTATTTTACTTTGAAAATTTAAAAAATATGTATTTTTTCCTTAAATTCTGAGAACCACGGGATTTTTTTCTGTTAAGTCTATATAGTACTAACATAGTACTTATGTTGTCATATTATGTTTTTTCATCAAGATTTAAAAAATTTCATATTTTTTTCGAAAATAAAAAATTTTCGTTTTTTTCCCTGTATAGTAGGTTTATAAAATTTAATATTTATAAATAAGTATCTGTGCAACTGTGCATATTATTCTTTTACAATGTACATCATTTTTATTTGCCACAACATATTGTAGTTTTATCTAATACAATATGTATATCATAACTTAATGTATTATGAAAAAAATATATTTATTTTCGCATCTGAAGCCTATAACTGATATAAATTGCCCAAAATAATTGAAAATTGCAAAATAAAACACTAAATTGATTTAGTGTTTTATTTTGCAATTTTCAATGTGCAATTAAGTCCCGCATCGCGAGATAGCGGACTGTGTGCAATGGTAGTACTTTCGTACCACCGAGGCACAACTATCGATAGTAAATAAAGGCTTTTTTCGGCTAGCCCAAAATATATAATGGAAAATAATTATTACTTAATATCTTACCGCTACTTTACGACAAGTTCTATGTATTAGAGGTGTGTAGTTCGTGAACGAACTAGTTCCAATGAACTATTCCGACCCCGGAATGAAAGGAACTAGTTCCTGGTTTTTCAAAGAACTAGTTCCTCAGGACCTGTTCCGGGATCGAGACTGTGACCGATATAGAATAATATGCGACGGATCGGCTAGCGCGCGTAGCCCGATGGTAGGCAGGAGTGGGGAGTGCCAGCCGTACGTTATCGGATCCGGACCTAGAGGAACTATAGTCTGTCTAAATAAGTTGGTACAACTGGAACGCATAGCAGGAAATTAATATATGTATTTAAAATTTGACTGACAAACAGATTATGAGAAAAACTGTATAAAACTGAAAAAATATAATCGAGTTATCTTATTTAATAAAAAAAGGTACGTGTTAATACAAAACAAACAACCACATACCAAAAAAATATAAAAAAGAACTATTTCTTACTTTCAAGCTTTATAAAACTTCCCGCATTTATGATTATATTTATCAATATAACTTATGTACAAATACAAATTTGTAATATTCCGCAGCAATAAATAAAACAACATCAATAAAACAAACTATTTTATTAATAATAACACTTACCAAATTTTATACCTCACAGGTTGATTAATTAACTTTAATCTTAATTTTTTTAAACCAGTACCTTTTGACATTATTTTTCTGCAGTACTAAAATCCATTATTTATCTATCGTATGATGTCGATATTTTACAGCTACTCCAGTTTTTAGTATGTGTTTAGTTTGATCCTTCTACCATATTCGAGATTCACTTATCTACGACGAGATGGTATACGAACTTTATTGGTGGCTGCTTTGGTGGCTGTATAAGACTTTCTGCCTGGGCAGCGAGTATTAACCATAAACTGTGCTCTGGGTTCTACAGTTAATTTTCACTCGATTTTTCTTCCGCTTGACTTCAAAAGACACAAAACACACGTAATAACACGAATCAAAATGCATCATCTTCCAAAACGAAGGGTATTTGACAGAAGTTGTCACAAAATTATAACCTTTAATTGGGCAAGACTTTGACAAGCGTCAAAAATCTAAAGGCGAGTTCATACGCATCGGCGTCCGTTTGTCGTTCATCGTTCCGTCAAACCAATAAAATTGAAATACGTCTGTCATTTTTTAAATAAACCAATAAAACTGGTTAAAAACAACAAGAGACGTGTATTAGAGGTGTGTAGTTCGTGAACGAACTAGTTCCAATGAACTATTCCGACCCGGAATGAAAGGGAACTAGAACAACAAGAGACGACGTATGACGGATTTATATTTAAACCCATCCACAGTAAACTTAAAAATTATTAGAAACTTTTTTTAGTAAAATAAATAGATTGGTATGGGACGTCATCTGCTTTTCTTCTGTCATCGTCTGTCGAAATCTTACCTGAGAAAAAAAACAGAGTATAAACTAAATAAAAGACTAGTTTACGTACGAATGGATCGGGCCAGCGCGATCGATGCTAGGCAGGAGTGGGGAGTGCCCGCCGTATGCCGTATGTTATCGGATCCGGACCTAAAGGAACTAGAGGAACTAAATAAAAGACTAGTTTACGTATGGATCAGCCAGCGCGATTGATGCTAGGCAGGCGTGGGGAGTGCCAGCCATATGTTATCGGATCCGGACATAGAGGAACTATTAAAAGACTAGTTCACGAGAATCTATTCAGTCGGCATTTCCGAGATATAATACAAGGCGACGACGATGGATTCGGCCTTGTCTATTGCCACGGCCGGCGTAATTACCACAGAAAATTGTCGTGGATACTGTTTTTGATTTTTAGTTTGTTTTTTAAATATTTTATGGGAATGTTTCACTTTAGGTCCCTAAAATTAAGAAATATCTTATAAAATGAAGTAGATATTCTGAATTTTTAGACAAAAACAAAGAACTTGAAGTGAGAAAAAATGCAATTTTTCGTAAAATCGTTTTTTAAATTCTGATTTGGGTTTTTTTTTATTTTTTTTATCTGCAATAAAACTTAACTATATGTTTTTAACATACACAATTACCCGTCTCGTTATATCTCCGTACAATATAAAAATTATACAGATCATACTGTGAATAGTTCTGACTGACAACGAAACGCATTAGCAAGCAAGGGAGATGTCAATGTTAGTCGGGAACTATTGTGAACTAAAGACCTAGTTCAAGGAACTATTCCTCTGGAGGAACTAGAACTAAGGAACTAGAATTCCCACCTCTAGTATGTATATACTCTGCGCTATGCTCGTCGTTTTGTGGAAATACCCAAGCTCACCTGATGATGGGGTAGGGCTCCGAAACCGGTAGTGAGAGCAGGTTGATCCACATTATGACGAACACAGCGTGGAATTAATTTCTATATTAGCAGTTCAAGGCAAGAAACTCTTATACAATTTTATGTTATTATGTTTTTGTCCTTAAAACGGCCTACACATGTAACGATTTATCGTACTGCGCGTTGAACTGCAGATCGTAAAGAAAATCGTACGACTTGCAGTACAGCCATTTTTTGTACACACGATGCAACACATTGTACTGCCGCAGTTCAGATTATTCACTTTTCGTCGAGAAGGGCTACCGTTATGTCAAGAATTTCAAAGAAGAAAGTTGCCGTGCTTGAAGCTGCGGTATTGGTGATAGATGAAGATGATGAACAAAAAGAAATCAAAAAGCGAAATGGTGTAAAAAGTGGTTGCTGGAGAGAAAGATTTTTTTTTCATTTTATTTGCATAATCTTTTGATTTCACGTCCCATAGGCATCTATTTTCTCTATATAAGTCAATAAAGTCTTCCCAGAACGTCTTATTTTTTAAATCCATAATATTGATTAAACCAAAAATAAATAAAAATTATATCGTAACTGCTCGCTGCGGCAGGGAATACACTCCACACGTTCAAACCCCACCCCAGACACGACCCGTTGATACGATATTTTACGGAAGCTCCGTACTGCAAACGATTTGACCACTGCATACTGCAAACCATCTAATTTCCCTACACACGCTACGATTTATCGTTAATGCGGCAGTTTCGATGGATATCGTACTGCATGCAGTACGATAAATCGTTACGTGTGTAGGCCGTTTAAGAATTAAAAAAACTTCCTTTTTTTCAGACATACAAAATTTTCTTTTAAAAGACTCACCCTGTATAGTATATCTAATATGTAAAAATACAATATGTGTATCACAGTTTTAAATATTATGATAAAAAAAATTGTTATATTTTTGTATCTGAAGCTTACAACTCATGTAAATTGCCTAAAATCATTAATCATTTTAATTGCTGTTTATTTTAATAGAAGTTATTACCTATTGCTTATTGAGAACATTTCAGTACTTTAAACGTATAGCCTCATTCAGTACCTAGAATTTAATAAAATAAACAAGTGGTTTCAATTTTACTTTGTACTTAAAAGTTTACGATCATTCACAATGCTTAAAAAGCATAATTAAAACTAATAAAATATCCTAGTAACAGATTGCGATAGTCAGTTTTAACCATAAAGCCAAATAATTAACATATAAAACAATAAAATTTTTATTACCAAACCAAACCACAATATGGATGGTAATCAAACGACAAAATGCCATTACTCGTAAATTTTAAATTATAATTAGCTGCAAAAGTTAAAAGTTTGTTCCCCTTTTTGTACTGATTTAAATTTACTACCACTAATTTTAACGTTCTGAATGCATACATTGGAATTAGGGGAACAAACTTTAACCCTAATTGAAACCGCTAATTTATTCAACTAATTTCGAGGAAGAAGCTTAACAATTAAACATACAGGGTGTCAAAGAAATGGTGTCCGAAATTTCAGTGGGCGATTCTACAGATAAAAATAAAGTTCGTATGAACATATGCTCTAGTATGCTGCTTGAGAAATTTACAGCTCTAGAAAGGGTAAATAACATTAACATATTTCGTTTATTTTTGGTGATATTGGTAAACCGTTTTTCTTGAAACTTGCTATTATTATACACATATTTCTCAGAGAGTCCTGACTTGTAAATTAAAAAGAAAATAGACTGAAAGTCTCGGTCTCATACAATTATATTAAACTGTCATAATTCTTTATTAAATTATGCAGTATGGATTTTCCAATAAGACATCTACATCTCTCTGAGAAAGAGAAAAAGTAAAACGTGAAATGTTAAAACACTTTAAATTTACGTTAAAATATATGAAAATGTAGGCAAACAAATTATGTAACGGGTATGAGGACAGCGCGAAGATGCGACTGTCCCCGTTACATCTTGAACGCCGCCGAACGCAAGCCGGGGTCAACGAACTCTCTGGCCGCGATTACGTCTCCCGTTTGCTGTTTTAGTCGGTGGGTGATGCGCTTTTTTAAACACATCTTGTTCACGGTATATAATAAAAAAAATCGTCGCTTTGTTGAGGATTGAAATTGTGATTGTTTTTTTCAGCAATTTCAGCAACTTTAACAACATATACCACAACACCAACGCTGGAGTTAGCCATCAGCTCTCAGCTACCAGACTCCTGTCTTCCCCGGATGGGTCCAGACATCCCCTCGATGGTTTAGATCACGCTTGGCCTTGGAACGACTCGTATTCCAGTTTACACAGAGACACCTATACGGAAGTTAGAGCTCCTAGAAGACCTATATTTACCTTTGGCTGTTTCAATGCTTGTAGGGCGAAGTTTAGACACAGCATAGCGAAAAGAAAAGTAAGTAATGTTGTGTAGTGATGGACAAATACAAAACCAAGACCAAGACTTCCTTAGTCTTGGTCTTGCGACAACAATATGTTCAGCGTTGCAAGATTTATCCTGTTTACTATATCTTATTTGAGCCATACGTTCTTTAACTCTAGTTAATATTGATCATCCATAATTCATACATATTTTTTATTACAATCTTTACATGAAATTCCATAAATACCCGACCTTTCCAGTGGAGACGTTTTATCTTTAGGATAATTGTTGTAATTTATTATTAGCACTATACACAAAGATAACTCTCTATCAAACGGTATTGAAAAATATTTTTACGTATCTTTCTCCACTTGAACAGTCAACTTTTTAGAAATCACAAACCTATACCTACGTTTTCTAATTATTTTATCAACTAATGCAGAAACATATCCATTACGCTCGGCTACATTCCTAGTGTAATTTCTTTCTATTTTATATCTTTCGTTGAGAAGTGGAAAACTAAGTAATATATGAACTAAGAAATTTAAGTTATCCATCTTATGTTCAACACTATGATATGGTTCATTAGGAATATATGCTTGTGTAGTGGTATTTTTTCTATAGATATCAAATTCCAGGCAATTAGTAGTATTTTTAGAAATACTAATAATACATAATAGAAATGGTAATCCATCGTTGATCTCAATTTCATATGTAAATTTAATGGAAGGAAAACGATTATGTAATTTAGAAATAAAATTATCTATGGTGTCAGACTGTGTGTCAAAAACAGCAAAAGTATTATCCATATGCTGCCATTACTCGCTGACGAGTATTCGATTGTGGAAAATGTCCTTGTACCTTTTAAGCTGTCCACCCGGCCTACCGTCTACAAGCTCACCGTAAAGCATAGATTTTGGTATGCGGTTTTCTTGCATTCTGCATACGTGACCAGCCCATCTAAAGCGGGATTTTGTAACCATGACTTCAATACTCTCGCAGTTAGCTTTTTCAAGGACCGATACGTTTGAGACATGATGGAATCACCGGATTCTTAAGAGTTGTATAAGGTGTCTCTGTTGCAACTTGTTTAATGCGTTCATCTGTCGGTGGTACGGCACCCAGGTTTCGCTCCCATATAACATGGTGGGGATTATAATTGCTCGGTACACTGCAAGTTTCGTTTTTGTACTCAAATCATGATTTTAGAAAACCCTGTCTTTTACTTTCCAGAATGCTCTTGAGGCGCTGCTAATCCTGTGCTGAATTTCAGTGTCAATACTGGCCTTATCCGAAATCAAACTGCCGAAGTAATTGAATTCCGCCACATATTCCAATAGTTTATTTAGTATTAAACTAGTAATTAAACTAGTAATTAAACTAGCAATAGTAATAGTAACTGATAAACTAGTAACTACTAATTTATTTATTTTTTCCACATACCTAAACAATATTCTCGGAAAATACTCAAATTCAAGCTTCGGAAAGAGCACAGAAATCTCTAAAATTAATAATTTTCAAAACTTCCGGAAATCTTCTAAATACTAACTAAAAGTAGAACTAACATAGAACTAACTAAAAGTAGAAAATATTTAAGAAAGGACACATGGAAATAGCCTTAACTTGATTTTAAAAAACTTTTAATGAACCAGTTGCATGAAAACCCCTGTATAAAGGTGAAATAAATTACGAAGAGATTAGGATAAACCCGCCGGTGTTCTCCCTAGTTCCGGGTATTATTTCCAGGAACAAAGAACAAATCTTACATTTCTGGATAAAGGCCTAACACGAAATCCTGCACGCGATAACCTGTAGCATTGTTCCGTTTCCTAGAACTTCCCGCCTGCCTGCCTACATTCGTCCTTAAATACACGCCCTTATCTGCCTAAATCTTCCTGGATAGTTCCAGGAAACCCAATTCGAGAAAATTTACAACGATGATTTACATGGAACCAAGATTTTTTTATTTTTCTTGCTAAAATGCTTTAAAAACAAAAAATGTTTTCCATCTAACAAAGAAATAAAATAAGGTGTTCCATTTAAAAAATGAATAGCTATAATAATATAAATCTCGATTTTTTAACGATAAATAGTAAATTATCAACCAGCAAGTCAGATTTTAAAGAAAAACGATTCAGGAAGATCTTCCGTAAGTACTTGGGCCTACAACATCCTGAGCAATACACGGGCCATTGTATCAGAAGATCATCCGCTACATTACTGGCAAATGCAGGAGTGAACATGACAAGGTTAAAAGATACGGAGGATTGCGATCTGCAACGGTTGCGGAAGGATATATCGAAGAGTCCATCAACAATAAAATAGAGATTGCGAAAAAGATTCAAAGTGCTGTAAGTGTTCCAGAACGAGCCGTTGTAATGACAGAGTCTATTTCAAGCAGTGGAGGGACAGCATCTGGAGGCATACAAGGTTTTACAATTTCTGAATCTACAAAAAAAATCATTTTCATTTAATGTTAATGTTAATTTAAATAAATAATTGAATTAGTAATTTATGAATAAAGCTTAATAATTTCTATAAAATGGTGTGGCTTTGAAGTTATAACACACTAGTTTGTTATAACTTCAAAAACTCACGCGTGTGTTATTATTTATTTTATATGTATGTATACATACAGTCTGTATAAGTAGTGGCTGTTCAGTTGGGCATATTGTTGGTTTTGGGGGCCCAAGTTATCCCTTCAAAACATATTTAATAATATCTTAAGATTACGTAAAATGATCAGAAAGGAAGCCAAAAATGCAATAATATTCATTTTTAAGACACTCTGAATACATAAACAAAATTATTGATTTTTAAAATATTATTCACAAACTAGGGAGAGGGAAATCAGGCGACGAACAGAGGTGATAGTTGTTAGATAATAGCTTCTAGACTACCATTCGAGACGCATTGATATTATTTTGGTTCTTGAGTTCTGTGACAAAGAATGTTATTAAAGGTAAATAAATGTTTTCTCATTATTTAACTAATGTTAACTAAATCATATTATTTTGTTTTCTTGTTGTAATTCTGTTCTAAAGCTTTTCCTTATTCATTTGATCTGACAAAGACAATATATAACATGTGTATGCATTTAATGGAATCTATTTATGCTGTAAATAATTTCAGTTTAGAAGTAATCTAAATAAAATCGTTTACTGTTCCTTCGTGCCGATGTTTGTGGTTTGTGAGAATAAGAGCCTTGTTGAGTGTACTAACAATTTTCGACCTTGCATGGGCGAATATCCTAGCTCGCAAAAGGGCAAACAAAAACAATAAATAAAATAATTCATAGAATAACTTACAATTTATTAAATTATAAGATATTGGCACCAAACCTTTTTACACATTTTACATTTTACATTTTAAACTAACAAAAAACTCTTCAGTTTTGAACGATATAAATGTGGCATGTTTTGAATGTATTAAACTATAAACCTAGGTATGAGGACAGTTGCTATATTATTATTTCCCTTTTATTAAAGTTCAGAACAACATAGTTAGATTCTCTGGAATAGTGATCATAGTTTTCTCTGCCGTGCTCTTTTACATGTGAATTACAGGCAGAGTATGGCACTCCTTTCATTTCATTTAATAAAATAAGTAGGGCTATTTACAAATTTGGCGTTTTATTTACATAACCTATTCTCCTCAAATTTCTCAAAATATTTCTTCTGTCGAATGTACGTTCCTTTCTTTCATTTAAATTTCTTGTTATACAGTTGGCCAAAATATTACCTGTTCAACTTTGTTGGCGAATTTGGGTTGTTACACTACAACCTACCGTGTACATATCCAACGCATTGTTTGAATAACCCCTTCAATATTAAAAGTTATTATTATATACATTACCATTTTTACATACATATTTAAACAAAGTTCTCTGGTTCGTTTGCTTCACAATTAACTCTATTTATGAAATAAAATATAATTTATATAACTCATTCCTCTACCTGTGTATTGTTACAGGTAGAACAAGGCCTGAAATTATACAACCAGCACAAACAACAGCAGGCTGTGCGAAAATGGAAGAGCGCCCTAAAATCCCTGAGGAAAAGGGAGGACAAGTTCAACGTGCTGGGGTATCTCTATCAGGCTTATATGGATTGGGGAAAATACAGGTGAGAAACCATAAGGGTACAGAAAAGGATTGTTTGATATTATTTGTTTGAACCAGAAGTTTCCTAATTAGCCAATAGGAGATATAGAAAAGATATATCATACCTACAGAGTGTCTTAGTTTATCCATTAAATACACTTACAGATAAAAAAAAACGCAACAGGAGAATTTTTTCGTCAAGTTTAATGTGTTATAATTTTTTTACTTTTAGCCCTATTTTCATAGATTTTTCAGACAAAAATTTAGACAGTCAGAAAATTTGAAACAGTCAAATCATTAAACAAAATCTAAAATGTCAATATTCCATGGGTATAGTGATAAATGAAGTCTAAATTATAAGAGAATGCATTTTCTACGAAAACTTGAAGAGATAGGTAAAAAATGGTATAATAAAATTTGATAGACAATTAAATTGTGCATCTGATTCTCGTAAAATATACAAGGTCTTCCATTTAAAATAAACAAGTTATTGCCGTTTAAAGCTAGTAATTATTTAAAATAAATTTTTAGACACTCTCTATAAGATAGTATTTTGTTTATTATTACAACACAGTATCTCATCAATAAATAAACTTCAGTAAATATTTAGTATTAAAAATTTCGATACCGTTGGAGAAATGAAGCCTTAAAATTTTTTACTGCAATTTCATAAAATTGAAAATATTTCAAAAACGGTAAAGTTTAAGTGTGATAAACCTTAATCAAATTTATCTTTATTTCAATCGCAGAATCTAAAAGTAGAATAATATATAGGGTGTTCCATTTAAAAAAATACAACTATAACATTTTTTACTTTTTTGGGACACTCTGTATCTGTAAAATAATTTTAAATTGTAGCTCTAATAGCCTTTTAACGAACCTAAGATTTACAATTTATAAAAATCTAATCGTTTAGCTACAATACTCCGTGACGTATTTGATGAACAACCCTGTATAAGCATTATAGATAACGAGAGAAAGCATATAAGGCTTAAAGTGCTTCAACAGCTTTAATCAGCTTATAGATATTGAATAAAGTAAGGTGTAAGAAAAGAAACGAAAAAAGGAGATGACGAAAAAAACGGACCGAGAAGAGACGGGGTCGGTATGTTCCGCATTTTATTAGGAGGAGATAAACAGCTGGAAGAAAATTGAAGTGGCACCATAAAAGTGTCTGGAAAATTTAGTAGTCGGAATTCTAAATTCGTATATTGGTGGTAGGATAGAGGTGTAAAAGGAAAGTGAAAATGTATTAAATTATTTTTAATAAATTGAAATGTTTTTAGAATATGGTAGAAAATGACTCAGTATTGAAATTAAAATAATTTTTGACTTCCGTTGTCTTTATTTATTTTGCTTACACATCGTTTCGGTCAGAAGAATCACTGACCGTTACCAAGTGTGAACTAAACTACAAAATCTGGCTTCGATATGTTGATGATACCTTTATAATCTAGAATGGAATCAATAGACAGTGGGATTCCTTTCTCAATCATCTTAATTCACGAACTGACTCAATCAGATGATTCACGATTAGAAAATTGGCACCGGGAGGCACTTATAACCGCCCATACTAAAATATATGTTAATAAAAAGTTGGTAGGCAGTTCTTTTTAGTGATGGAAATACCGGTTCCACATGAGTCGCGTTACAGTAAAGACCGTTCCAGAAAAATACCGCGACAAAATACCGGTATTTTGTAATCGAGGTTCCGACTTCCACTGTGTCGCGGTCCTCGCTTATGCAGTATTTCTCGCATTAGTTATTTACTCCCAACCAGTGTTGTCAGGTTCTTACAATTGTACCAGCTGTTACAACCATTCGTGCCATGAACTTAGATAATGAACTTAATAGAACGCCTATGGAGAGCGGTGTTTACTTTATAGAAAATGGCCCTATATTATTTTAAATTTTCGATGCTGAGAAATACAAAAATAAAATAAGTTAGTTAAACTATAGTTAGTTGCTTGCGAAATTGATTACCTGTCTCTATAATGCTTGTGTTCATTATATTGCGAGAAGTAGCATCATATTTTAATTTTTAAAGAAATATCAAGGAATTACGTATTGTCTTTAACGGCTCATATTTATGTGTATTGCAACATAATATATTTAATGTAAAAATCAAGAACAAAGTCCAAACCACTGTCAAAAAAATTCTTTACTGGTGACTGGTTTCGGCAATTCCAGCCATCATTAGACTTTAAAAATAGATATAAACAAAAAAACTTATAAATAAAACTAAAACTTTTAATATAAATGTATAAAAGCAAATAACATTTTTATTTTATCTGTTTTTACGTTTCATCTTCCTAACAACGCTATTTTATACCATGCCTAGTACATACCAAAAATCGAAAATCTATTTTGAAAGTAACTTAGCGACGAGACGGGAGCACTAACGCCAGTAGTAACCGACCATATCGCGACAGGCGAAAACGAAACCCTAGAAGCACTCCAGCGACTGCTGGAACGAAGTACGTCGCCGGCCGAGGTCGAGCGTCGATAATCAGTTCCCCCAGTTACTTCTGTTCGCGACAGGGAACTAAAACTACAGGAGCGCGACGCGCGACGGCTGGAGCAAAGTAGGTCGCCGCCGAGGTTGAGCGTCGATGCCCAGTTACAGCAGTTACTTCTGTTCGCGACAGGGAACTACAACTCTAGGAGCGCGACGGCTGGAGCGAACACGTCCCGATCGAAATCGCGCGGCGCTACGGACGTATCAGTTCCAGATACTACTGTTGGCGACCGACGAAATCGCGACGGCTGGAGTTAAACACGTCGCTATGCGGTTACTACCGTTCGAGCTAACTTCAAGAGCGATTATAAATAATTTATTTGCAAATTATAAATAATTTATAATTTTGTCGTCATTATGATCGTCGTTCTTCAATAACAGGTTTCTGATTCGTTGTGGAGCGCGACACGACGTTACAAAAAAATACCGCTCCAAAATCGCGTTACTCAAATACCGACACATCACTAGTTGTTCTTTTAGTTTTCCACTATCCGCCCCCTGGGGTCGCGTCCGATGGGAGTTTGGAGTTCTCCACACGGATTTTCTCAAAAACGGACTACGGAAACACGGAATATCTCAAAAACTGCGACTTTAACTGATTTTGATGTTATTACAAATTTTGTTGCAAATATTATTCCTAATCTTAAATTGAAAACCGCGTTTCGCTAGCTACTGTAATTTTGGAGTTACGATTTTTTAAAATTTTTATCCCCCTCCACCATACCCCCTAACCAAGACCTCACCCCCACCAAAAACTAATGGCCAGATTCACAGTATTTTTGTGCCAAATTTGGTTATAATCGGTTTAGCGGTTTTTGAGATATCGTGTTACAGACGGACGGACATTCAGGTCATTTATAACCCAAATAACTCAGTTTGAGTGAAATTAAAAAAACTTTACTTAATAGCCTACCATACCTGTTGGTATGGTTGGCTAAAAAGAGAAAAACTTCTGTCTACCGTTTTTGTATGTTTTTGTCAGTAGAAGCGATGGATCCATTATTAGCACTGCTGTATATAGAAATAGAAAACCCACACATACGGGACAGTATTTAAATTCTCAGTTAAACCATTCTGAAGCAACCAAAAGAGGTATAGTTAAAACACTATTAGGCCAGTCGCCAAGTATTAAAAAATAGCTTATGGCGGGAGCAAATCCGGACAAGCTAGAATAAATTTTATTTTGTTTAGTTTAGTGTAAGGAAACACTTGTTAAATTTGCACCACCCGCAAAGCCCGGATTTGGCCGCCATCTTGGAAAAAGTGGCTAAAATTCGGTTTATTTTTCATTATTTGTCAATAACTCGATTTCTATCAACTTTAGTGCAAAAAATGTACAGACCAAAATTAAAGAAGAGGAAAAACTTTATAGCCAACTGAGCGTAACAGTTAGATTTCCGCCACTAGAGTAGTAGGAACAAAGAACTTGAAGGAATTGGACCGTTGTCTCTGTTCATACTATCTTTACATTTATTAATTCTGATGCTTTCATATGCATCTAATTGCCTGTAATTTGAGACTTGATTATAACTTTTTTTATAGAGTTTTTCCTCTTCTTTAATTTTGGTCTCTACATATTTTGCACTAAAGTTAATAGAAAGAGTTATTGACAAATAATGAAAAATAAACCGAATTTTAACCAATTTTTCCAAGATGGCGGCCAAATCCGGGCTTTACGGGGAGTGCAAATTTAATACGTGCTTCTCGACACCAAACTAAACAAAATAAAACTTATCCCAGCTTGTCCGGATTTGCTCCCGCCATCGATGCACTTGCCGACTGGCCTATATGCCATAGAGCAATCACTATATGCAGTGACCAAGAATCTCTGAACTCTGAACTAAGCAATATTAAAACCGATTTGCTTCAGAATGGTTACTCTGAAGGCCTAGACAATATTATATCTAATTGCAAGTCTGACTCATTGGTGCGCCAATGAGTCAATGCTCTCTCTTTCTTTCTCTCTCTTGACGATTCCATATGTGAAAGGAACATCGGAGAAGATCAAGCGAGTAGCTACGCAGTATAACATTAAAATTGTTTTTGAGTTTGGGCTACTCTCAGAAGTGTCCTAACAAAAACAAAACCGAAATCATCAAACCAAGAGAGAGAGTGCATCTACCAGGTACCTTGCGAGTGCGGTGAGTCGTATATTGGAGAGACAAGACGTCCTTTACGTGTACGACTTGACAAGCATAATAAACATACGCAAAGAGGTGAAGAATGAAGTCGGGCATTGCAGATGGTAAAGAATGAAGTCGGGCATTGCAGATGGTGAAGAATGAAGTCGGGCATTGCAGATGGTATAGAATGAAGTCGGGCATTGTGTGGTCCAAGCACCACAACATAAAATGGTCGGAAGCCCGGGTTGTCCACAAAGAACCCCATTGGAAAAAGCGCAAATTTAAAGAGGCCGTATTCATTTCTAACAATAATAAAATCTTTAGCAATGCAAGTATGGAAATTTCAACAATACGGCAACCACACTCATAAAACGCTTCAAT